CCCGCCACTTCAATATGTTCCCGAAACACATCCCCAACCCCTCCCTTCTACACAGCCATTCTTCACGAGTGCTAGGTCACCGATAACGCCAACAAAGGAAGGGGGAGACAATTCAAACACAAACGCACAAACAAACGAAGTGAAACGAAGCGAAACAATCAACTCGCTGTAACATCTACCATACACACCTCGCTGTCCACATGCGCCAATAATTGTACTTTTGGCACAATTGCAACTATTTAGTTGTGCTTTCGCTTTCGGCACCGTCGATACTAATTAGCGATATTTTTTACTTATTACTCAGTTTTTACTTTAATCAATCATTTATTCATTTAATTATTTATTATCGAGCTCTATCAATTATTTATTCTTTTACTTAGTACCCATTTCGTTAGTTTAACGATTTATTTATATATTCTCATTATTTATCTTCGAGCTCTATCTCTGCCCCTGCGTATCCCGATCCCCAAGAGGGGAGGGTAAACACTCGCAATTTTTTTGGGGTCGGCACTCGCACTCCCGTAGAAGAATTGCGGGAGTATGGCGTCACCTTACCTCCAAGCGGCCAAGAGGGCACTGATGCAACAAGATCAAGCACAAGCGGATTCCAGTGCAAAATCGAAGGATTCGTCTAGCCAAAGTCCAACGAATTCAACCCACTCTTCTTCCCAAGGAACATAACGAACCGCCACAACATACAAACCCTCGGGTCAAAGGGCACTGGATTTTCTGATGAGCAAGACTGAGATTACGGCGGAGTTAATCAAAACAATCCAGGATGGAAATGGCAAGGAAGTCGAGGTCGAAGTGTGGGAGTATCCTAAACAAGATCTACAATCTTTGAATGAGGTTTACGAAAAGCATGCCGTGCTCTTCAATTTCACGAATAAAAACAGGGATTTACCTCTCAATGAAAAAAGGAAATGGGTGATGGACAAGCTCATGGAAATGAAGAACGTACCTGGCATAGAACCGGATGTCTCCTACCACAAAAGAGGTAGGTACACGATCATGATTCAGTGTGTTGATCCTTCCTATGCCCAATTCCTTATCTCCCTGGGTTCGCTGAAGTGCAAAGGTTCGGTGGTCACAATCCAGAGATGGAAACCACCGAGAGAACCGCAGGCAGAAGCCTCCAGACAGAGGCAGACGATGCTCTGGAACCACTTTTGGGTGCAATTCGAGAACCTGGTCGAAGGAATGCACAACTTCGTACACAAAAGGCTGCAGGAGGAATTTCCCAACAATCCCATCATAGACTGGCTACCAGCCAACCCTGACTTCATGGCACCTAACCATGACTCGAGAGTGGCATGTCTCGAGGTATCCTCAGGCATGCCCAATTTCCCAAACACATGGATTTTCCGGAAGAATGGCCAACGCATCACAATCTTCATCTCCACCAAAACGAATCCTTACTGCTGCCGCTGCAGAAAAAAGGATCACCTTGGCGTGCATTGTCGGCAGATAGGCAAAAAGGGAAGAAAAATAGTGCTCAGGCAATCAATGCTGGTCAAATGTGATGTAAAACCTGGGGTATGGTACATTAACGACGCCCAGTTTAGGGGTTGGATTTTCGATGACAACCTCAAAAATCCCAAGTGGATTTGGGTCTTACAGGGTGAACCTAAGTCCAAACCCGACATCCACGCCCCCTACGATAGCAGATGGAGGTACGTAGGAACCAAGCAAATGGAAGACAAGAACACTAGCTTCCGTAAGGAACAGGTAATCTGCGAAGCAGAACTACTTGATGAAAAACAAAGGCTGAAATCAGTGAAAGAATTGCATGAAATTGGGCAAAATGCAGAGAAGGCCCAACTAAAAAACCTAAGAGCTAAAACAGCCCAAGAGCCGCAGACGGACTCAGCTTGCTCGACGCCCAAATCCGAAGTCTCCAAAACCCAGGGAGAGGATAGCCTCTGTATCCATGGATCCCTAAAGCGCAAATCGGATTAATTAGAAAGAGAAATAGAGGCTAGTGTCACGGGGAAAAAAAAACAACAATCGGTAGGACAGGCAAGTGCCCTACCGACAGATATGGGGATGGATGGGAGTGAACACTTTAAGCAATCAAGGACGCTGCATGGAGACAACAAAGTTCTACCAAATGAAGGAACAACATCAATGAAGGAAGATTCGTCTTCTCGGGACAAGACAACTGGCCTGGAAGGAGGGGAGGAGGACATGGATTGTTCTCTAACCTCAGGAACGGGTAAGAAAAGGGATAGAGCAATGTCAAATGCAACTCAGTCTTCCAAGGAAGAAGGGGGGGAGCAGGCTGACGAGGATGACGAGGAATCTGAGGGTGAGTTGAAGGAGGATGACACAAAGATGGAGGAGAAAGATGAGGAGTCCCTTGAATACGTACAGCAGTACGTCAAGTCACTGGAGAGGGCAAGATCAGTGGAATCCGAAGTACGATTGACACATCACAAACACCTCCGAAATCTCAGAGCAGTGACGACAATGGCCAACGACATAAACACGGAAAACAGGTTTGAAGTGTTAGAGAAAGAAGGGGAGATCAATGAATTCTATGCAGCACAATACAGTCTGAAAACGAAGGTGGAAAAGGACAAGATCAAGGTGGATCTGAGCAGTTATGGACAACACTTCACATGGCCCAAAACCTACGAAGATCAAAACGAAGGAAAGAGGGCCAAAAGGCAAAGAAACACAGCAAGCAACTCAAAGGCAGAAGAACAAACAAATCAGACCACAGAGGACTCAGAAACTGTAGACGAGCTCAACAGACAAGTTGCCATTCTCGAAGCACAAGTCAATGCCTTACGGGATCAGAACAGGGAATTGGATGACAACTATCTAAACCTCAAAGACATTGTCACATGGTACAACAAAGAAACAGAGGCAGCGGCCAGACTTGATGCCCGCACCAATCCCAAACGGCGCACAGTAATCGCGTATAGATGGAAGACAACATACGAAACCTTGGAAATCACATACCACAAATCCATGGCGTTGTTAACAGTCACGGACCAGGACTGTACGCAACAACATCTGAGAATGTGGATATCTGATGCAGTGCCAACAAAAACACACATTCAAGGATCCAAAAAGGAAGCCTGTGAGGAATGGAAAGCTCAGGATGGAGTTTCTCGGTGTGCAGATCTCATACCCATGATTTTACAAGTCGAGGAAAAGGCAGAGCTCAACGATGATATGTGCTGGGTACCGTGGCAGTTAGTGGAAGCAATTCCCTATGGTCTGCTAGGGGGGAACACAACCGCAGAAAGAGCAGCCTTTAGCGGCTCGCTAGTCACCACATATGGCATTCTCCAGATGTCACCTAGGCGACTTGAGGTGAAGTTAATTGGGCCAATTTCAATTGAGAGGGATGGCGACCACGTAGACCCATTGATGACTTAAATCCATATCAAGTACATAAGCTTCCTCTAGGGACAAGTGAGTTTGCAATACAGTATCAGTGAGATATTGAAAAGATAAAAGAAAATATAGTGAAGGCACAACACCAAATGGTGGAACAGGCAAATAAGCATAGAAGACCATCTCAATTCGCTGTAGGTGATTTGGTGTGGGTTAAGTCTAAAGACTTTGCTCCTGAGGAGAACATTTCTCAGAAGTTACTACCCGCCTACAGAGGGCCTTGGCAAATTCTTGATATGATTGGAGAGGTAGATGAACCTTCTTATGTAGTTGAAATTCCTCTACATTTGCATACGTATCCGGTATTCCACGCCTCAAAGCTTCTACCTTGCGTAACAAATGAGTTGTTTCCCAGTCGCAGATCAACGATACCTCCTAGTATGAATGGGAAATATGATGTAGACAAGATTGTTGCTGAAAGCACTTTCCAAACCGGACGAAGAGGCAGGCCCCAGCGACAATATAAAGTCAGATTCGCTTATCAGGACCCAAGTGAAGATCGCTGGTATACAAGAGAAAATTTACTTGAGTCTGCACCTCACATTGTATCTGCGTATGAGAGAGCTAAAAGAGGAATAAGTATTATTGATAGATAAAGATTTTCTCAGAGGACTTCGAATCTAGGCCAAAGGGCCTTTACCCAATTCAGCCCCTGATCGACGAAAGCAGCATAATGGGGTCCCTTGCCCAGAGCCCAATTCGTGAAAGCATATCAAAAGACATGTTCTCTGGGTCAAAGGTCACATCCTGGCTAAAGTAAAGACAATGTCAAAGGTCATGGTTGGGCCCTGGACGAACAGTCACCACGTTTAGATTTGGAGGTCACATCTGTTCGCCAGGGGCAATGCAAGTCATGTCTATTCAAACAAGGGATGTGTCTGTACGTGCAGTCAATGTGTCTGTTCGTGCAGGAAGAGTGTCTGTTCGTGCATTGGGTGTGTCTGTCCAGCAGAAGTCCAAGAGTTAAGTTCCAGTCCGGATTCCAGTCAGAAAGAAAGTCTAGATTCAGATTGGGAGTCCGAAATCAAGGCCTGAAGGCCGCAGCAGCAGCAGCAACCCTTGAAGGAAAGGGATCAAGGACACATACACAGAGGCTGGGACTGGGAAAGGACCAGGACATGCAGAATTCAGACCTCGCCAGGGGAGGCTAGCACTATAAGAAACGAGGCAGCCTCCCCCACAGGGAGATTCCCTTAGGCATTGATGCGTGGAAGTGCTGAGGCACTTGTGCGCTATAGTGCTGGGAGAGGTGTTGGCTAAAGAGGAGTTGCGCGAGGAAGAAGGGAGGCTGGGCGCTGGCTGCAGGGAAGCCATAGCTGCGCCAACCTATGTTAGTAGTAGTAGGGCTAGTCGGTAGGGGGATATCAGTGAGTGACATTCAAAGTAGATCTTCGTATATGAGAGTGTGCATGCATAGTGAAGGGAAGAGAACCAAGACAAGGATATTGAGAGAGAAGAGAGCAAGAGAGAGAAGACAGGGAGTGCGTCTGGATATGGTGGACACTTACCTGTTGGCGCCACACTTGTGATCTGAAGGAGAATGCTGGCTGAGCCAGGTTCCACACTGTTGAATGTCGAGGGAGACTTACCTCTTGTTGGCGCTGAACTCTGGAACTCATGATACTCTTTGTATTAAGTGACATTGATAATATAAGTTGCGCTACTTGGTTCTTATCTCATCTCAATCTGGTTTTGTGTGAGATCATTTGGTACGTGTGATGACATGTATGCATGCGGATTGATGCACTCGAGCAAGTTGTGAACAGTCTGGTTCCTTGCACTCAGCCAGGTTGTCCTCGGGAGGGACGCCACTGGCCAGGCCAGATTGGCAGGATCAGCCATAGGATGTCTCAGAATAATTCTGCTTGGTTTTGTCATTCAGTCCCTTGCGGTCCCTACAGGTGAGAGCAACTCCTTATCAAAGGCGACTACGACTGCTAGGACTGCGGAAGCAGAAATTGACATTGTTAGCAAGCGTCACGGAGACTATGACTACGACTACGACTATGACCATGACGATGACTATGACTATGACTATGACTATGACTATGACTATGAGGGTAAAAAGTATGCCGTTTACTATGATGGTACGTATTATGGTCCATATGATGGTAAGTACAGCATGAGCTACGGTAAGTATTATGGTCCACATTATGGTGGATTTTATGGTCCATATTATGGTAAGCATGATGGTAAGTATGATGGTAAGTATGATGGCAAGTATGATGGCAAGTATGATGGCAAGTATGATGGTAAGTATGATAGTAAGTATGATGGTCACTATGATGGTTACTATGATGCTAACTATTATGGTACATATGATGGTAAGTACGATGGCAAGTATGATGTTAGGTATGATGGTAAGTATGATGGTAAGCATGGTAAGTATTAAGATGAAGGATGATGACAAGTGTACAAGTGTATCGAGAAGGATGAGAGGAAGGGTTATTACTACAAGCACTATCATAATAGCGAGAAGCAGGACTAAAGGCGGTTCAACATTGGAGTGGACTTCGCCTCGGTAGCGCTGACTGCCGCGGGGCGGGGTACTGGCGCGACCTGCTGATTCGCGTCACGCCGAACGTTCGTGAGGAGCAAGCATTGGCCGCCATCGCCACGGTGTACCTTAGGGAGTGAATCCCTTGGCAAACACCTGGGTGCGACATCGGACGTGAGAAGGCGGGAGCCCGAAGAAGCGGACTGCACGTGGGCTTGCTCAGACGAGGAGCGCACATCACCCACGTGTGCAGAATTCCGCGTGCGGACTTGAGCGTGAAGTCGAGATATCAAAAAAGATTCCAACTCGGTGATGACATCAACGATACGACAACCTCAACACTCGGAGCCGGAAGTAGCGGACTACAAGTGGAAGTGCTTGGAAGAGGGGCGCACATCACTCGGGCGTGCAAAATTCCGCGAGTGGATTTGAGTTGGAGGTCGAGCTGCGAGGACGACGCTATTACGGGAAAAGACTTCAATTCAGAGACGCCATCAACGAGACGACAACTTCTACTCACGCGTGCAGAATTCCGCGAGTGGATTTGAGCTGGAGGTCGAGCTGTGAGGACGACGCTATTACGGGAAAAGACTTCGATTCAGAGACGACATCAACGAGACGACAACTTCTACTTCGCTGGGGCGAATGAGACCGTAGATCAATCCGGAAGTCGGCAAAACACGGGGCGAGAAGTCGATCGGAACTAGAGGAAAGGGAGAGCCAAGACAGGCGCCGCAGACAACGAGGAGACCAGGTAAGTGAAAAGAATACCCGGAAATAGGGATGAACCCGATTTGCTTGAAAAAAGGCGATTACTAGAAAGGTAGAGAGGGAGGAAAAGAAGTGGAAGTGTAGAAGGAAGGGAGGTAAAGGAAAGGGAGGAGGAGATGAAAGAGACGGGGAAACAGGGCAACGGAGAATAAAGGTAAAAGGGAGTTGAAGGGAATAGGGGGAGAGAGGTGTAGGGGGAAGGGAGATAAGGAAAAGGGGGTGGTGACGAAAGGGACGGGAGAACAAGGTAATGGGGAACAAGAAAAAGGGGGGTGCTGTTCTCGCCTCTGGACAAGTTCTACAGATAAAAGGGGGTGCTGTTCTCGCCTCGGTGACAAAATTGGAACAGACAGAGATAAAGCAGATCGGGCACAAAGCGAAAAAAGGAGACAAAAAGAGAACAGGGGGAGACGACAAGTAGGGGTTGCACACTGCGAAACGGAGGGGTGGAGGACACAAGAGGAGAAGAGAGGCCCGGAAAAGAAAAGGGAGCTCGGCGGGGTGAAAGACGGATTGTAGGGAAAGGAAAGGAATTCGGAGAGAGGAACAAATAAAGAAGGAGGAAAGAAAGCCAGAGCGGGAGCAAGGTGAGAGAAAAGGAAGTTTAAAATTTTGGTTGGGATTGAAGTGCGATAAAAAACAAGGACGAGACCCAACAACAGAGGTAAAGGAAGGCGGCGACAAAGCCCCCTGACAGAGCCCGACCAGCCCCCGGAATCCGTGGAACCAAGGAACAACCAGTTAAGAAGTCAAAAGAAATAAAAAGAAATAAAAAGAAATAAAAAGAAACAAAAAAAGGAATAAAAAGAAAAAAGAGTGAACAACAGATAAAACCTGGGCATCATGAGAACGACAAGCAGGCTACAGCGAGCACACAAGCGTTTGGACTCGATGCTATTCGACAACGGGGCTATGAAGCAGCTGGCTGACGAACAGCTCCAGCTCAAACGATGGTCACATCAGAACCTGAAAACTCCAGCCTCCCCGCCTCCCTCACAGGGGGCGAAAGGTCTGAATAAAGAAACATAGCAGAAGGAAGACATAGAGGTCTTAACAGAAGAAGAGAAAGAAATGAAGTCTCGGGGGCAAACATCACATAACGGGAAGAATCCCTCCCCCGCCCAGGGACTGTGCAATGACCAGCCGCAGCTTACCTGGGCAGACAAACTCCGAAGTCCGCCACGGGGTCAAATGCTCACCATTCAACGGGGCCAAGGAAGCCCGCGGACTGGGAATCTCGATATCCCTTTGGACAGGCTTCCATCAGCACGGGCTTTCTTCATGACAAAATTCCTGCGCCCATCAGAAACTAGAGTGGTTACGCAAAGAGGAAAGCAAGTCATGATTAAGGCCTACCCCAAAAATGGCATAGTATACCGGGACGAAATATACACGAAACACGCCAACAACTGGGTGTTCCACGATGACGCAGCCTTCAAATCAGTCGACGATGAAGTTACATGGAATGGCCACAGGCTGGAGACATTGAAAAAAAGTGCGGATTTGGCCCGCGACCAGTTTCTGATCCAACCGGTCTCAAACACGCTGTTCACGATCCTATGCATGCATGAATCGGATAAGATCGCGATTGACGGGTGGAAACGCCTTCGCTGCGAACGTTCGAAGGTTCGGATCTACCCATGGGTGCCACAGCACAGAGTGGGACCGGAAGAGAGGAGGGCGCAGCTGATGCAAGACTTCTACTGGGTAGAATTTCGCCATATCCCAGTCGAAATTCAAGCGGCGTTTGTGTATGACTTCGGGTTGATGTATGATGTTGTCGCATTTATAGACCCCCTCCCCTCTTCCGTATCCAAGAGGGATGATTACTTAATGCTGGCCCTGGATTTCCCCCAGGGCCAACCATTCTCCTCGGACGACGTGATCCCGTACCAGGTAGGGGGGAAAGAGCATATGATCCACACAGCGCACAAACTAAGACCGTGGTTGTAACGGGAGTGAGGCTGAGGGTGAGCCGAGGGAGAGGAGAGAGAGAGGGAGAGAGTGAGAGCACACACACACACTCACTCACTCGACACGACGGAC